TAACATTCATTCTCAGCAAAAATGCAAGCTTCTTCAATGTGCTATGAACTGGATTTCTATTTCTTCTTACTCTATTTACAGCAATAAGAAATACACTGGACCATACCTATGGACATCAAAAACATCTACTGTGAATTTATACCCCCTACCATGGCACAGCGTGCAATGACAGCAAAAGCCTGGGGCACAAGTCATCTGTTCATCCCAGCCCCTAAGCACTGTCACTCAAACTCCAGCCCTTAGAATGCAACTGCAGAGTGGGAGGCGGAGGTTGGAGCAGCAGCCACAGCCCACACTGCACCCAGGGATATGTGAATGGTTTTGATCTTGTGCAGGGCTCACTCATTTCGTATGTATCCACGCTGAGGCATGCATACATGCATGTATCCATGCTGAGATTCACTGACTATCACAGAGGAGGTTTACTTCCAAGGTAACTTCTCAATAAATGGACTCTTCAGTGCAGCCCAAACTTGTTTTGTTCTTAGACCCTATGTGCTTTCGCTTGCACTCGGGTTGTGCACAGAGCCATTTATCACATCATGCTTGACTTTTCTCTTCTCTCTGCTTGAGTGCCTGGGGCTGCCCAAGGCTCTCATTAACTCCACATCTGCCCCAAAGCCGCTGGAAACCCTTTTGCTTGGATAAGCCTTGGGGCAGATTGGTTGGGCTTGTGATGAAGAGAGAAACAGCCTTAAGAGGGGAGAGTTTTAATACTTTAATGAAAGGTTTCAGATTCGTATGAGCTATTTTAAACTAGAGGCTTGCTTTTTTTTTCACAATTACATGGAGCAGGCCTTCAGGTTCCCCTTGTAAAACCTGCCGGGAATCACGGCATTCCCTGGCATTTCTTTGTGCCGCTTTGGTTTCTCTAATGAGATAATGAAGCATCTCATGGCTTGGTAAGATACAATACATGAAGAAGGTGTTTAAAGCTGTTGATTCAGGACGGGAAGCCAGGTAATCACAGTTTCTTACTACCTGTGATGTGGTGTATCCTGCCCTCTTCAGCACATGAGCAGTCACTCGCATCAGGAGGCAATACTGAGATCTCGAGTCCTAAAATGTCAAAATTACCCAGCAGCAAGTGGAGGATGTTGAGAGCCGAGGGAGCTGCCCCTGTGGCTGCAATGGGACTGGAGGCTGCCCTGGTTGGCCCCAAGGTTGAAGAGTTCCACGTGCTCAGGGAAAGGCAGGGGCACGCGGAAGCCCTTTGCTGAGAGACCTGCCAGAAGAATCACAGAATCCCAGCCTGGTTTGTGTTGGAAGGGACCTTAAAGCTCCTCCAGGTCCAACCCCTTCCACAGGCAGGGACCCCTTCCACCAGAGCAGCTTGCTCCAAGCCCCTGTGTCCAACCTGGCCTTGAGCACTGCCAGGGATGGGGCAGCCACAGCTTCTCTGGGCACCCTGTGCCAGCGCCTCAGCACCCTCACAGGGAAGAGCTTCTGCCTAAGAGCTCAGCTCAGTCTCCCCTCGGGCAGGTTCAAGCCATTCCCCTTTTCCTGTCCCTACAGGCCCTTGTCCCAAGCCCCTCTCCAGGTTTCTTGTTGGTCCATTTAGGCATTGGAAGACTGTTACAAGGTCTCCTTGCACAAACACAGACATATACTGCCAGAAGAGACACAGGAAAGAATATCTTCTCCCCAGACAACTTTCTTACGTGATTGTTTCTTTGCTTGTTTGATGGTGCTTTTCTTTAAGAACCTACACAGAGAAAAAAGTGAATGGAGTTGAGCTGTCAGTTCTTCTTGTTCCTATTTGATGTGGTCCAGGACAGCATGTGAGCAAACCCCTATTACAGGATGCTCACCTACACACTTGGGCACTCTAAAGAACTTTTAAATAGACATTTACGACATTCAGACTGATAGAATCATAGAATAGTTAGGGTCAGAAAGGACCTTAAGATCATCCAGCTCCAACCCCCCTGCCATGGGCAGGGACACCTCACACTAAACCATGGCACCCAAGGCTTTATCCAACCTGGTCTTGAACACTGCCAGGGGTGAACATTCACAACCTCCATGTGCAACCCATTCCAGTGCCTCACCACCCTCACACTAAAGAACTTCTTCCTTATATCCAATCTAAACTTCCCCCGTTTCAGTTTTAACCCATTACCCCTTGTCCTGTCACTACAGTCCCTAATGGAGAGTCCCTCCCCAGCATCCCTATAGGCCCCCTTCAGATACTGGAAGCTGCTCTGAGGTCTCCACGCAGCCTTCTCTTCTCCAGGCTGAACAGCCCCAACTTTCTCAGCCGATCTTCATACGGGAGGTGCTCCAGTCCCTGATCATCCTCGTGGCCTCCTCTGGACTTGCTCCAACAGTTCCATGTCCTTTTTATGTTGAGGACACCAGAACTGCACACAATGCTCCAAGTGAGGTCTTGCTAGAGCAGAGTATTGTCTTAATGAGAAGCTCCAGGGTACAGTCATGAGACATTTCATGACATTGCTGATAAAATCCATTGCTCTTTCACAAAGCACTTAAATGGAAAAAAAACCCCAACCAACCAGCTAGGAATGAGCATCAAGGAACTAAGTTTATATCACAAACTCATGGCTAGCACAGCAAAGAGTATGTGCTGATCGTCAGCTGTGAAGAGGTCAGGCAGCCATGGGAGGGACCATCTCAGCTGAAACACTGTTGTTTCTTATTCTGAACCAAAGTTAATGAGCTCATCTTAACAAAACGATGGAAAACTCACAGCCTGAAGTGCCTGTGGGCTCAGCGTGAGCAGAAACACCTTGTGGGTTAAGCCCATAATGAAAACAAAATATCATGTATCAGTTCTATCACAACCTGACAGTCATAAATGAACCATGCCACTGGCAGAGATAATAGCAGGGAATCTTTCAGCAAGCACAGCAATCACCCTAAAATAATAATAACTAAACATCTTCCCTTTTATGGGGTGATACATGTGATAAAGAAGTGTTTTCCTTAAAAAATCCACTATAGATATAAAAATAAATAGATATCTAAGTCATGTGCAGTCATTTTGAAAGGAAAAAGGTTTGATCTTGTGAAAAGAATGCACTAATCCTTTCCGGTAGGTATGAGATGGGCATTGTAAAAGCTACTGCTGCAGGTAGGAGTAGAGAGTTTGTGGTCCCTATTTTAGCCATATGATCTTAAAGCCAATACCAGATAGATAGTATTGTTATTATATTTGTCTCTTTCACTACTTCATTATAACATTTCCCCTCTACCACCCCCACTTCTGCAGTTCTTCATTCAGCACTTATTGGAACTCACTCTACAACCACTGCCTCTTGAGTCAGCTCATGGGATTATTCATCTGGTCTGGGCACAGGGTGCCCAGAGAAGCTGTGGCTGCCCCATCCCTGGCAGTGTTCAAGGCCAGGTTGGACACAGGGGCTTGGAGCAAGCTGCTCTAGTGGAAGGGGTCCCTGCCCATGGCACAGGCTTGGAGCTGGATGAGCTTTAAGGTCCTTTCCAAACCAAACTGCTTTGGGATTCTGTGATCCTATGAAAAGATTCCTTTTCTGTTACTTCATGTAAAAACTCCAAGGCAGTGACTAGAATGTGGAAACCTGGCTTATGTACTGGTTTTACCTATACAGTTAGCTATATAAAATTTGCTAGTCCCTGTTCTATTTTGCCAGCATAAAAATCCTGGGAAGCCATGTCATAACACAGTAAAGCACGGGGAAATCACAATGCTTATCAGGGATGAATTGCATGCAAGAATCAGAGCTGATGGAAATTGACTAAAAAACAGAAATAAAGGTGATTATTACATTCTGTTTGTGCTTATTATGGGCTCCTCCTAAGTGATAATTGATCTAAAAATACAGAATTATTGCTTTTGCAATCAGATTAAAATAGAACTAAAATATAAGGAATTAAGACCAGTAAAATAATCCTGGTTGATTTCTTAGGAAATTAAAACTGTTTGCAGCTACTCTCTGTTTTTACCTGCTTAACCAGCAAGAACTGCAGGCACAGACTGCATGTGGTGTTGGGAACTTACCATCCGACTTTTCCATTTCTCCCAGTTAACTCAGCAGACACCCCAGGGGCACTGCTCACACACAACTAAATCCCTTGCACCCTCATCTCTTAATTCTATCTGGATGAAGAAACAGTCTCATTCTTTATTTCCACAAGTTTATCCTTGAATAATGAAAACCAGGCTGTTATATGCTGCCAGTACAAGAACATCCTCTGTTAAAGGCACAGCTACCATAACAGTGTTATTTCCTCAACTCTTCCATAAGGTATTAACCTAAATATAATTCTCCAGAGCATCCTGGCTGAAATGAACCATGGACAAGATTTCTAGCTCTGTTTAGGTACTCTTTCAATGAGTGAAACCTTTTCAGCCCCACCTCCAGTTGATACGGGGGAAAATGGTGGAAAGATGTTGTTTCCTTGATCCTACATCCATCCCCAAACAGTTTAACACCGCAGCAGGCACCAAGCTGCTCTGAACTTCAGCAAGGGGTGGTTTCCTAATGATTCCAAGATTGGGAGATGCCAGAAATGGCATCTAATTGCAAGAGCACCCTGTACTCTCACTCATGTCAGATGTCTCACCACTCATACACAAAGTCTTATGCCCTTACATGCTTTGAACACACACACACACATCCCCCCACATAGATGAAGCTGTTGACAAACATGTCCATGAGGCTCCGTGCCCTTTCCCTTTCTGTCTGCAGTGATGGGTCCTACATGGATCTGCAGTTGCATTTAGCACTCCCTCACTCACATTCCCCCATTCCCAGGTATGACATTCCTCATTCTGCACTGAAGCAGGCTCTCATCAGCTGGTCTGGACCCAGGGTGTCTGCAGCATCCCACTGCAGCATTCCCCTCTAATTACAGCATCCCACTGCAGCATCCCATCCCACTGCAGCATTTCACCCCACTGCAGCATCCTCTCACCCCTTTCCACTGCAGTCTGCCGCTTCCCAGGTACTGCAGACTCATTACCTGACACAGTTCTTCCTTCAAGCAGTGTTTTTGCTTAGAGGGTTTGCAACTTTCTCCAGTTAGATTGATTTATTAGAAAAATGCACCTTTTCTTTCCAATACACAAAAATAGAATTAGACTACAACAGAAGCACAAAGAGATACAAATGACGGCCTCTGTCCATTGAATCTTCATCTGAAATGGTCCCTGAAGAGAAGTTCTGGCAATATGGCATTAATTGTCCATGGACTTGCTGTGCTGTTACAAGGACCCCAGTGGGAAACCCTGAAGCACCTGCACCCCCAGGCTCTTCTCACCGTGTTCTGCTGCATTTTCAAGGTGTGCTGTCCCAGGGCAAACAGTCTCAAGGTGAAAACATAGAGTTCAACCCACATGGCTGGATCCAGAGCTTTGTATCCTGAAGCAGAAGATGCGTGTTGGGTGAAATCAGTTCTTGCCCAGAAGGTCAGTGTCTTGGGAAGGTTCCTCCAGCTCTGCCAAGGAAAGAGTTTCTCCATCTTTCCTGTTTAAAAGTGTGTGCCCACTCCTTGGCCAATGGATTTCACAGTCCAAAGGCAGCTTTGCATGATCTGAATGCTATTTTCACAAAGACATTGATAAAACAGCCCTCCCCCCGTTTAATTTATGACGGCAAAAGGCTACCTCCCCTCTTCACTCGACATGACCTGCTCACCGCAACCCTCAGCCACCTTACAAGCAGCTTAAAATGCAACTAAAGGCAACATTCACTTTCGGCATTTCACTTTTGGAGCTGGATGAGCTTTAAGGTCCCTCCCAACCCAACCCATTCTGTGATTCTATGACCTCTGGGAAGTCCAGGCTGCAAACCCAGCACCCATCAAGCACCAGCACTGACTCATCCGGGGGGCTGCAGCCAGGGGTGTTGTGGGGGTTGTGCTCTGCTCTTGGCTGTGAAAGGGGAGAAATCCCCCCCGGACACCCACAGCGCAGGAGGTTAAAGCCTTCCCAGGGTTTCGGAGGGCCAGAACAGTGTGAGAAAGGAGGGAACGCAGCCTCGACAGCTTCACTCCGCGCCCAGCCCACCCCGAGCCCCGCTTCCCTTCCTGCTGCAGCGCTAATTTACCCATTACACACAAACACGTCCGTTCACAGCCCCGATCCCCTCCCGTGCCGCACTCACACCGCAGCCCCGTACAGCGGGGGCCCCCCGCCGGCGGGGCAGGCCCCGCCGCTCCCCTCGGCCGCGCCGGCCTCAGCCCGTCTCCTCCTTCGCCTCCTGAAGTTGCCGTTATCGAACATCTTCTCGCAGTTGGGGTCGAGGGTCCAGTAGCTGCCTTTGCCTGCGGAAGACAGGAAGGGTCCGGCGCTGCGGAGGGGCCGCTCCGGCCGGGTCCCATCACCCCCCCGCTCCCCGCCCCGCTTACCCGGGTCGTCCTCGGCCCGCGGCACCTTCTTGAAGCAGTCGTTGAGGGAGAGGTTGTGGCGGATGGAGTTCTGCCAGCCCGCCTTGCTCTTCTTGTAGAAGGGGAAGTTCTCGGCCACGTACTGGTAGATCTGGCTGAGGGTGCGCCGCCGGCCCGGCGCGCTGTGGATGGCCATGGCGATCAGCGCCGAGTACGAGTAAGGCGGCCTGGCCGGCCGCGGGCACTCCTGAGGCGGGCTCAGCGCCGCCCAGACCCGCTCCGGGCCCGGCGGGAGGAGCGGCCCGCTGGGCAGGTAGGGCCCGGTGTGCCCGCCGAGCCACACGTAAGGGCTGGCGGCGGGCGGCGGCCGAGCCGGAGGGCAGAGGCCGGGGCACACGGCGGCCTCCAGCAGCGCCTGGGCGTGAGGCGGCGGCGGGGGCGAGGCGGGCGGCCCGAAGGGGTGCATGCTCCGGCGGCTCCGCGCCGCTCCGCGCCACGCCGCTTAAATAGAGCCCGCGGGTGCGGACGGAGGCCATGGGATACCCCCAGCGCAGCCACCCCATCCCCGCCCCACGGGTGCCCTCGGCCCCTCCGCCCGCCCCGGCCCTTCCGTCCCGCTTGAGTGCATCGAGCTGCGGACCCCGCGGTGGGCATCACCCGTTCCGCTTCCCTTGGGAAGAGTTGAACAGGGGGGATTTGGGAAACCAGAAGGGTGAGAGCCAGCGGCTGGTAGCACCTTGCGAACAAGGGCAATGAATCTGCCACATGAGCCTTTGTCCTGTAGCAAAGAGAGGAGCAACAAGGGGGGAATGGGTTCAAACTGAAACAGGGGAGATTTAGGCTGGATATAGGGAAGCTCTTCCCTGTGAGGGTGCTGAGGCGCTGGCACAGGGTGCCCAGAGAAGCTGTGGCTGCCCCATCCCTGGCAGTGCTCAAGGCCAGGTTGGACACAGGGGCTTGGAGCAAGCTGCTCCAGTGGAAGGGGTCCCTGCCCGTGGCAGGGGTTGGAACTAGCGCTGCAGCTCCTGCATCTCCCATGCAATGGGATCAGGTCCTACACCCCATAACCACTGTTGCAGTCTAGACACGCACATCAGAAGGCTCAGATCAGAAGGCCCCACACTGCTGAGGGGTGTTTGCACAGAGGGTTCGGGTACCTTTTTCACTTGACTTAGAATCACAGAATCCCAGCCTAGTTTGGGTTGGAAGGGACTTTAAAGCTCATCCGTTTCTGACCCTTGCCATGGGCAGGGACACCTTCCACTAGAGCAGCTTGCTCCAACCTAAATCTAAATTTCTAACTCTAAATTCTAATCTTTGATGGGAGACATATCATGATTTGAAGAAAAAGTGACTTTAAATTGCATTTCTATATATTCTTTTCCTATAGAGTACGTCTGCCTTTCTGAAACTGCAGACCGTTTCTCAGAAACACAGATAAAAAGCATGGCTTTATCAGTAGGTAGAGCTATATAAAGCGAAATATAAATGGGATACTGATCAGTGGTAGGGAATTGAAATCCTTCAGGTGGCATCTCATACAACTCAAATAATCTCCAGTTCTTAATCTGCCAATCTCTATTTTGGGGCTGTGAATGCAGGAGTGAAAGTCCATCTGTCTTGCTGGAGCTTTGTGTAGTCAATATCGCCCTTATGTCTGAAGTATTTCTAAACCACATTATTTGTTACATGTTGGCATTCCCGTGGCAGGTCTGTCTAACCTGGTATTCCCCTGGGCATGGCTCGGAGCAGAGCATAGAATCCCAGCCTGGTTTGGTTGGAAGGGGCCTTAAAGCTCATCCAGCTCCAACCCCTGCCACGGGCAGGGACCCCTTCCACTGGAGCAGCTTGCTCCAAGCCCCTGTGTCCAACCTGGCCTTGAGCACTGCCAGGGATGGGGCAGCCACAGCTTCTCTGGGCACCCTGTGCCAGCGCCTCAGCACCCTCACAGGGAACAGCTTCTGCCTAAGAGCTCAGCTCAGTCTCCCCCCTGACAGGTTCAAGCCATTCCCCTTTGTCCCCTCAGTGCTTCAGGGATGCAAGGAACACTCAGCAGATCAGATTTCTTCCTAATGGAAGGCAGTTTGTCGGTAGATTCCACCCTGGAGCATGAATGTCATAACCCATTTTGCACATAAATATATCTAAATACATAAATAAATATATATATATATATATATGTATATACAAACATACAAGTTCCAAGGCAAAGATTTAACAGCCTCTTGGAGCCATCCTAGAATCTCCTCCTGGGCTGTACCGGTCAGCACAGCAATACTGCAACAGCACAGCTTCACTGGAGACCCCTGCCCTGCCCTTTGCTATGTCACAGTAGCGTCCCAGGGAAGGTTTATTCCACTGCCCCCCAGCAAGGAATACCTCTTTGTCCATGCTTTGGGAAAATGGTTCAGAAAAACAAGCGGATTGCCAGTGATTTTACGCACTTGCAACTTCATTGGGTGGAAATGAAAGTTGAGTTGAAAACCATTGTGCTGCCAGTGTGAAGTGTACACCGAATGCTCCTGTATGAACACTGCAGAATCAGAAATAGATGATTCACACCACTAATGGAGTATTCATCTGAATGCTAGGTATTTAGGCATAGTTTTAGAAGCAGCAGATGAACCAGCCTGTGGATGCTGCTTGTCCTCAGAAAGCCTGTTCCATTTTCCATTGCATTCCTTGTCCATGTGCTGCCCGCCTATGTGCCAACTACAGCTACAACCACAGGGAAAAGTGAAACGTGTGCTTGTAACCATCAGGCTGAGCCAGAGCAGCTTCACTGGTATTACTGCTGTTAGTCCAGTGTGGGCTGGGTGAATTTGCCTGTAAGTTTTAGGCATCTATTGTGCAAACATGAGGATTTATACCTAAATATTCTATTCTCTAAATAATATATGTTCTAAATGTCTGAATTTACAGGTCTGCAAAGATCTCATTAAATTCTCCCTTCTCAGCTGAGCTGACACCTGAGGACATAAAAACACATGCACAAAGTATTTGTTAATGCTGACTTCTTTGTGCTTCACAGAAACCCTTTTATAAGGGAGCAGTAATTCCAGGTAAACACACAAACATAGAATCATAGAGTAGTTAGGGTTGGAAATGACCTTATGATCATCCAGTTCCAACCCACTGCCATGGGCAGGGACACCTCACACTAGACCATGTTTACCAAGGCTCTGTCCAACCTGGCCTTGAACACTGCCAGGGATGGAGCATTCACAGCCTCCCTGGGCAACCCATTCCAGTGCCTCATCACCCTCACAGGAAAGAATTTCCTCCTTATATCCAATCTAAACTTCCCCTGTTTCAGTTTTAACCCATTACCCCTTGTCCTATCACTACAGTCCCTAATGAAGAGTCCCTCCCCAGCATCCCTATAGGCCCCCTTCAGATACTGGAAAGCTGTTATGAGGTCTCCACGCAGCCTTCTCTTCTCCAGGCTGAACAGCCCCACCTTTCTCAGCCTGTCTTCATACAGGAGGTGCTCCAGTCCCTGATCATCCTCGTGGCCTCCTCTGGACTTGTTCCAACAGTTCCATGTCCTTTTTATGTTGAGGACACCAGAACTGCACACAGTGCTCCAGGTGAGGTCTCACGAGAGCAGAGTAGAGGGGCAGTATCACCTCCTTCGACCTGCTGGTCACGCTCCTTTTGGTGCAGCCCAGGATACAGTATGTGCAAGCGCACATAACTCCTTTATGGTAAAGAAGTGAACACAGGAAAAATACTTCTTGTTGTGGAACGTGGAGCTTTTCACAACTTTGCTCTCTCTGCAATTTCAGAAGCATTTGCAGGGTGAGGAGCATGTTGTGATGGCCTGATCGAGAACTGGCAATCTCTGCCAGGTCACTGGTATTTATATCCAATGCTGTGCTAGCTCAGTGGGACTGTTTCCAGCAGGTGTTCTCACCATCATGTGCTTTGTTGCCCATTGCCTGGCAGTGTGAGAGATGTGGTTGTTCCCAGATACACCTGAGAAACCATAGCATCACAGAACCCCAGCCTGGTTTGGTTGGAAGGGGCCTTAAAGCTCCTCCAGCTCCAACCCCTGCCACGGGCAGGGACCCCTTCCACTGGAGCAGCTTGCTCCAAGCCCCTGTGTCCAACCTGGCCTTGAGCACTGCCAGGGATGGGGCAGCCACAGCTTCTCTGGGCACCCTGTGCCAGCGCCTCAGCACCCTCACAGGGAAGAGCTTCTGCCTAAGAGCTCAGCTCAGTCTCCCCTCGGGCAGGTTCAAGCCATTCCCCTTGGCCTGTCCCTACATCCCTTGTCCCAAGCCCCTCTCCAGGTTTCCTGCAGCCCCTTTAGGCACTGGAGCTGCTCTAAGGTCTCCCCTTCAGGAGCCTTCTCTTCTCCAGGCTGCCCCAGCCCAGCTCTCTCCGCCTGGCTCCAGAGCAGAGCTGCTCCAACCCTCGCAGCATCCCCGTGGCCTCCTCTGCTCCCACCCCAGCAGCTCCCCGTGCCCTCCCCTCCCTACTGTCGGTGACTCGCGGGCCGGTGCTGCCACCCAGCGGCCGAGCGGAGCTCCGCGGTTCCCGATGGAAGCGGCTCAGAAATGGGGGGGGTTGGATCCCGATCCCATCCCGGACTGTGACCCTCGGCCGCCGGCTGTGAGCGCCCGATCCCTAGCACGGGCTGCAGGGGAAGCGACACCGGAGACAGGAGCATTGCGTCCTGACATCGCTGTCTGCGGCTTCCCGAGGAGGGGTGTGCTGAGCTCCCCACTGGGACCCAGGGACAGGATGCCTGGGAATAGTCCGACTAATTCACTTGAACAAGACATTCGATACTTTCCTGGCAAAGCTGATTGAAATGTGGGTGGTTTGCACCATAACAGCGCTCAGATTTGTCCTGAAGCATCAGACATTAGAATGAACTCCCCTCACTTAAAGTGGAATATACACACATGGTGGGAAACAGCAAACAAGCAATCTAACATAAGGTATCCAGAGTTTATCAAACCAGAAAGAAGTACAGCAAATACAAATAGCAATCCAAATATTATTTTCAATTCAACTATGCTTATTCAGCATGAAAATGATTAGCTAACAAATATCTATTTCCAGGTCAATCAAGCTTGAGGCAATTAGTCTGTGTCGAGGAACTAAATTAGCTCTAAAATCAGAATCCAAAGAGTCTCAGCAGTTGCGGTTTCATCCTGAAATGCATCTCTTCCAAAGGAGCCAGTCAGACAAATGCACTCAAGTTTGCCATATTTAAATTACACACTATATTCTAATTCATTTTAATATCTAAGTTCTGACAGCAGAGGCAATCCCTTTTCAGGTCCGTGTGTTAAGAATGGCTTCATATGAGAGAAATGTCTAATGCATTTTTCAATCTCCTGTGTCTCCAAATAATAGATTTAGCATACACCGAAGGCTTGGCATTGAAAGCAGTTCCTTATGTGTAATACCCTGTTTATTTGAATTTGTAGACTTCACATGGCTAAACTGTTTCATTTAGATGCACTTTGGATCGCTCATGAAAATTTATGAGCTGGATTTCATCCATATTATTATTTCTATGTTTGCCTTTCGATATTTAATTCAATCAGTTCACATTCTTCTTGCCCATCTCTGAGC